CACTCACTCTTTCACACACACACACACTCACACACGCACACACGCACACTCACTCACTCACACTCACTCACTCTCTCACACACACACACACACGCACGCACGCACACTCACTCACACACTCACTCACTCACTCACACACACACACTCACTCACTCTTTCACACACACACACACACACACACACACTCACACACTCCTGTCCAGTGAGACAAAGAGACAAACATATTGTCTTTCCTGCTAACATGGTTTTTATGTCTTCATTATGTGGTTTATGTTTGGTGTATTGGACTGAGTCTCTGTGTCCGTGGTGCAGGTCGGCTCATTTATTATCTCGATATCGTCCTCGCTGTCCGATCATCGCAGTGACGCGTAACGTTCAGGTGGCCCGTCAATCACAGCTGCTCCGTGGCGTTTTCCCTGCCCTCTTCCGAGCTCCGCCTGCTGACATCTGGGCCGACGATGTGGACAACCGCGTGACGTTTGCGATGGACATTGGTGAGTGTGTGTGTGTGTGATTGTGCTTTGTGTGTGTGTGTGTGTGTGAGTGAGTGTGATTGAAAGTGTGAGTGTGTGAGCTCAGACCTGCTCAAGTGTCCCAGTTTCTCCAGAAGTGTGTGTGTGTGAGTGAGTGAGTGAGTGTGTGTGTGAGAGTGTGTATGTGTGAGTGTGTGTGTTAGTGTGTGTGTGTGAGTGAGTGAGTGAGTGTGTGTGTGTGTGTGTGTGTGTGTGTGATTGTGCTCTGTGTGTGTGTGTGTGTGTTTGTACAGTATGTGTGTGTAACATGTGTCTGTGTGCAGGTAAAGCGCGGGGTTTCTTCACAGCGGGTGATATGGTGATCATCGTCACCGGCTGGAGTCCTGGATCTGGACACACCAACATCATGAGGGCGGTCACTGTGCCCTGAACCACAGCCTCTGATTCGCCAGAGTCACTGATTGACAGTTCTGTGCTAATTAGCTGTCATTATGTGTGTCAGTGTTGATTTCTGCTTCACTTACACCCTTCGTTTGTGAATCATCTCTATAGAAATAAATGAATGAAATAAGCCACTTGTGCTGTTTTTATTTTGCTGTGATGATAAACTGCAAACACACAGTTCCTCCTCATGCTGAGAGCAGCACACGCGTGTGTGAGTGACCACAGACACATGATTTTTAACTGTTATTTTGTTTTTACATTAAAATGGTACAAAGGGAAACTATCAAAAACTAACCAAACTCTGCTAGTACAATAAAAATAAAATAAAAACAAATAAATAAACAGATCAATCAAAAAACGTCTTAATGCTGGATGTGTTTCAGCTTTTATCTTCTCCAGATGTTAACTGATGGACTGGAGTGCTGTGGATTATTGTGATGTTTTTATCAGCTGTTTGGACTCTCATTCTGACGGCACCCATTCACTGCAGAGCATCCATTGCTGAGACACTGATGCAATGCTACATTTCTCCAAACCTGATGAAGAAACAAATAATGGTGAAGCAGGTATGTAAGAGTTAGTTTGGTCTATCTCATATCTATCTGTATAGAGCTGTTCACATTGTTTCAAAGCAGCTCTACAGGCAATCATGATGTTAGTGTTTATAATATCCTAACATCTTCATGCCTTACTGTCTCATTTATCAGATCAGAGCTGGACAATAATATAGTTATATTTTGTCATAGACTTATATAGAATGTGACTGTGAAAATGATCTGAAGTTCCAGCTCGAGATGAGAATATATATATAAACCTCCTCTGAATTCAGCATGTGTGTTTGAGCTTTTGCATCCTTCATTATTTATGAAAAGCTCTTTCTAAGAGTGAGATCATTTATTGATATCCAGATCGGATGTGAATATGAGGCTGTTTGTGTATCTGGCTCTCATTATGATTGCGAATTTCTTAATTGGCTTTAGCTGTTCAGTGTCAGAGAAACAGACATCAGTGACTAACAGCTGTCTCTCTCTCTCTCTCTCTCTCTCTCTCTCTCTCCTCCCGCCTCCGTGTCGTCATGGTGACGCGCACTCATACCTGAGCCGCAGAAGTGCGGACTGGAGCCGGTGACAGGGATGCTGCTGATGCTGATGCTGATGCTGATGCTGCCATGGCAACAGACCTTCACGCGCTCACACATTGATTTCTTGTTTATTTAATACCACGTTCGTCCTTCCCGTCACGCGAGATCCGACGCTGCGATCGCGTGAAGCTCAACAAGTGACAGTGATGAATGCGAAGGAGCGACGCGAGGCGCGCTGGATAAACGCCTGATAATCGTGCGTTTAAAGGGGGCAGAAGAATCACGCGCGTCTGACAGCAGCTCCGGTGCGTTTCTCATCCGTTTCTCCTGTTGCTCATCTGATGATGCGCCTTCACACGTCTGACTGACCGGTGTGTGTGTGTGTGTGTGTGATTTGCAGATGAATGTCCTGTATCTGTGTCGCTCCTTCACATCGTTCTTATATAAGCGCGTCTGTTGAGCACGAGACATCACCGTGACAACCAGAGGCGGGAATCACGGAACCCGTGACCGTTCGGAGATGCTGTCCGGTGTCGGAGCGGCTCGGAGCGCCTGGGCCTCAAGGACACGGAGAAATGAGAAGAAATGACGGACGGCGCGTGAAGACGAGCGCGTCAAGGACGAACGGGGCGTCAGCGACGCGCGCTAATTCAAGGGCGTTCGAACGCGATGAGGAGCCGTCGGAGGGCAGCGCGGCGGGGCGAGGCGTCCTCCGGAGGAAGCGTGAAGGAGAATCCGTCCTTTTACCGGCGCTGAGGTCAAACTGACCGTGAGCTCGTTCTTCAGCGAAATGACAGATCAGAGACAGAACAGACCCGTGCTTATCTGACAGAAGAGCAACAACAGGTCACTGTGTGTGTGTGTGTGTGTGTGTGTGTGCGCGCGCGCTCTTGCTGCTGGGGCTGGCATGGATGGTGGCACCGGGGCTTCCGCGGGCACGGACCCTCGCCCCGCCCGGAACGGGGACTCTAAGCGGCGCAGTAAGAGCAGCCTGCCGTCTCCCGGTTACCGTCTCTCCCAGGCGTCTCTGGAGGGCGACCGCGGGGAGCCTCTGCCCGGGCGCCGCCGCCTCTCCATCATGAGCTCCACGCGCGACAGCGGCCAGTTCCGCCCGGGCACCGCGGCCGGAACCCCGACCACCCCTCTGCCCCTGCCGCTGTCCCACGCCGGCTCCGCCCCGCCCACCGTACAGCGCTCCGTGGGCTTCGCCTCCCGAGCCGCTCTGGCATCCACCTCCTCCTCCACCGGCACCGGGATGGTCGTGGTGGCCGCCGGACCCGAGACCACCACCACCACGGCGGCTGGGACCCCTGAGGCCGGTCCGGGGCTGGACGGTGAGGATTACAGCTACTCAAACCAGTCCACCTTCATCCAGAGGCAGTTCGGAGCCATGCTGCAGCCCGGCGTCAACAAGTTCTCGCTCCGCATGTTGGGCAGCCACAAGGCCGTGGCTCTGGAGCAGGAGAGACTCAGATCGGCCGGAGCCTGGATCATACACCCCTACAGCGACTTCAGGTACACACACACTCACACACACAAAAAGTGGGGACTCTCCATAGGCGTAATGGTTTTTATACTGTACAGACCGTATATTCTATTGCCCTACACCAACCCTACCCCTAAACCTACCCCTCACAGGAGACTTTGTGCTATTTCAGATTTTCAATACACTCCATTCTGTGTGATTTATTTACATTTAGTCATTTAGCAGACGCTTTTATCCAAAGCGACTTACAATTGGGGGATACATAAAGCGATTCTTCTTAAAGAGGCAAACAGACACAAGAAGTGGTTGTAATACCAAGTTCTTAGACATTGTTCAAATAAGTACAAGCTAGAAAGAGAAGGAATAAATAAAGAGAG